AAATCCAAGGCCAGCAATAGCACTTGTAGCATCCCGGGTCTTGTCTGAGCCAAGTCCACATAAATTGGAATAGACAATACTACTGGGGACTCTAAGTCCTTCCCGCATAAGTCCAGAACGATCCATAGTCAGAGCTGCAAGGCTGTCAATGTGATGCACAGCTGTTGTATCCTTTGAGGAATAAAAAATAATGTTACTTTGGCATCTTAATGAAAATTATAATCAAGACTACAGTTGGTATTTTTAATCAATGGGAACAATAGCCTTTCTATCATTAAAAATAGTTTACATTAATAAACATAAAAAAATAACCATTTAAAAATTGTATAATGTTTCACACAGGAATGAAAGAAGTCTTCTTTTGTCAACCAAGTTTGATTTTTTTTAAAAAATTAAGAATAACTTGACAAGCATCCAGATCCCTTTCTACTTAGCAAACATCTATGTAGATACTATCTTTAAACAATAATCTCTCAAACTTTTTCCTACAAATGACACATTCATAAAAATAAATAGATTTCAATAGTCATATCTTTATCATCTGTGGTCCTTTTTTAGGGGGATCATTATAGAACAAATGTCAATGCACTGGTATACATATCCATGTATCTAAAGTAACAAATGAGAGAAAATATCCAAATAATACTTTTAAATTTTCTCCTTACCAATTAGAATAAATTCCAACTGTATACAAACACTTAACAAAAATTCCCATGAACTCAATAGGATTTACTGTAAGTAAATAAGTATAAAGTAGCATACCATTATAACTTCAAAGCCTACTGATTCCTAATAGGATATAACCTGCTGTCTGTGAAGATTCTCAGTCATCCAGGTCATAGTTGTGCAAAGATGCTTTTTCAAAAGGCTGGACTAGTTTTTTTCCTTGAAGAAGAGGAAGCTAGCTAGGCACTCTCAAGATACTTAGACTGTAGTAAGAGTTCATATCCAAACTTTTACAATTATCCATCACAGAATTCCTAAGTGTGGGATGGGTAATTGTAATATTATTTGGAACTACTGTAACTCTTCATAAACTAGGTATATCATAGAATAAGAGGCCTTAGGACTAAATCTAAACAAAATATAGCATGGGAAAGTTTTACCATAAAGCCTTATTCATGGCACAAAACAACTGTTGACTTAACTGAACGGTCCTTCTATGTGTGCTGCGGGAGAACTTTGGGTTAACTTTGTCCATTAGCCTAGAGACTAAGTTATGAAACTGTTTTTTTTCCTTTTTTTATTTATTCATTTTTCTCCAAATATACTTTTTTATTTTCCATTTTCATAACATACAATCACATGTATACTATTACATAGCCAATATCCTATTGTATTAAGTAGTAATTACATCAGTTCCTCTTGTCATCAACGCCCAGGAAGATAAAAACCCATTATTAGCTCTTCTGCTCTCCATACACCTCTTTCTTCTACCTCTCTCCTACCTCCTTTCCTCCCCCCATCATCCTTCCCTACTCTACTTCCCCTTCCTTTCTCTTTCTCCTCTCTCTTCATTCCACTCCCCCTTGTCCTCCTCATCTTTTCCCCTCACCCTCTCTCCTATCCCTCTCTTCCCATCTTTCTTCTCTCCT